TTCAGCTATATGGTCCTTGCCCTGCCAAGGATGAAATCTGAGGTACAACACATGCCAAAAGATTAAAATGCAGGATGCAAAACCAAAACCCAATAATAACAGAAAAAAATTAGGCAGCAAAACCGAAGTAGTGAGATTTCTTCCTGTATTACAAAGGGTTTTCTTCAGCTGCAACTTCGTAAGTCTGTAGATTCATCAGTTTAAACATGAATAAAAAGGGGTCAACTGTGCAGGAGACAAGGAATTTTGAAATAAAATAAGGAATAGTTGCAAAGTCCCCTGGCTGCACAGAGCAACCCGCAACACACCATTACCTGTGTTCATCAGGTAACTAAATTTCAGGATCCCACATGGTAAATTCGACGTCATACGCTGTTATTAACAGATGAGGCGCCAGAAGCACTTCTAGAAAACTAGAGCGCTCCGTTAAACATACAGTGAGCATAAGACAAAATGAGTTGTGCTACTTGTTAAATGTGTTTATCTTTCCAGTGGTGTAGGAAATGTCTGTCTTTATGATGTTATTAAGAAATACTGAGCCCATGGGGGTAAACTCTCCTTTTTCATGTTTTCTCTCTTCCCAGTCGCAGTCACTAAAAGGTCCCGTCTTCTGCCATCAATGCCCCTAACCAAGGGCTTTCCCACTCGAAGAGAAACTCTCTTCTCTTGCACCCCTGCAGGCAAATGGCCTAAAACTTCCCTTGGAAAAGGAGCAGCACAGATCCCAGGAGAGCATCAGAGCCAGGTGTCAGGGCAGCATCACCTCCAGCATTTGGACCTCCCAGCATCAGCAGGTGTGAGTACCGCTGCCCCACTCCAAAGGACACAAAATAAACCCAGGGTTTGCATTTGCTGCAGTTAAAGAGGGGCAAAAAAAGCCATGTGGAGCGATGAGATTGTTCCCCACTGTCAGATGCCAACAGAATCAAAAGAGACACACAAGAGTTCATCAGTCTATTTTTTATTCAAATTAAAGGATGAGGAACTACAATGTGATTTTCTTTTATAATATAAATATGTCAGTTTGAATGTTTCTCGTGTTGTTTGTCGCACTGGACAAGACAGCTGTCAAGAGAATTACTTTGCAAAGTCCTTGGTCCTTCACACTCATGCAAAAAATCTTTAATTAAAAAAATGAGCTTAAACAGTCAACCAACTCATTACGGTATATAGTGCCAGCTACTGAACCAACAAAGTCTGTTTTACAAAAACAAAGAATTTCACACCCAGGTAAATTATTTCACAATCGTCCATTACTCTTGAGGGTTTTTTATACATAAAATATACAAATTAAAACTCTCAATATTTATTTATTGTCACTATAGAGGAAAATAATTTATAAACCCATAAACAACGATAAGGGCAGAGGAAAAAAAGTGAATTAATTCATTTCCAGACTATAATGTCTACAACACTCCCAAACACTGTAGCTTTGAGCAACAAATTACGCTCACGTGGATGTGATTTGTGGGCATGATGTTAAGGGGGCAACTGCTTTGATACCACGTTTTATTAGTAACAAACCTCAAAGGTTAAAAACGAGCTGCATTTATCTGCTGAACCATCACGTTAGCTTGAGGCATAGGCATCACATATCGCCGGATATTAAGGATTTTGGTCTCCAAACACTGCAAACGAGAGAACAGTATTAAGCTTTCATGGTGGTGTCATGCAAATGTTGCCAAGTACATTTATGGTAATTACAGTGCTGTACACATCTGTACAAAAAAAGTATTTGGATAAACTGAATGAACGGAAAATTGGTTTTAATGACCCTCAATTTCTCTATTAGGCACAAATGGAAAAGATGGACTCGATTCAAACTTGTTTAAACAACAGATTGCTTGAGGCAAATCTATCCTGCTTTACATATGGTTGCCTGTTGTGCAAACCCAGCAGCGTGAGCACCCACAGGCGAAGCTGTTGGGTTTTGTGGGTGCACGTCCCCAGGGATGCTTCCTCTGCAACAGCAAAGTCACCCTTGGGAAACCCACAGCCAGGATCCTGCAGGTGGTCAAGCACATGGTGACCCCCAAAAGGAGCCAAAAATAGAAGAGGGCTGAGGAAAACCTTCATATTCACACAGGACCATCGCGAGGAAGTAGCCTGAGTTCCATTTGTAAAGCTTTTACAAAACCTCCTGCAATAATTCCACTGGTTTTGGCAGCCGGGGGGGTTCGTGCATGTGTGCTGCTGTGTGCGTGGCGTCCTCCATCCTTCAAGCAGTGCCACGCTCACGCAGGAGCTGAGAAACAAAACCACTAAGAGACAGCTTGTCCACCAAGCTGACTGGGAAGCAAACACATGGCACAATAAAATTAAATCCCAATATTGAAATTGTTGTAAGATAACTAATAATCTAAGAGCGTAGTGGTGACTGAGGTAATGGATTTTAACATCTCAATGTTGAGCTCAACACTGTCCTTCTAATATGTTAGAATCAACATGAGAGCTATCCCAGATCTTAGTTACAACATTTAATTCCTCGTGCAGAAAGCAAAGATTCACGCTTACATCACGGCCAGCAAAAACTGCACTGGAGTGTAAGAATTAGATCCAGAATTTAACAGAAGTGTCATTGACAACTGTAAAAAGCAATCCAAAAAATTATTTAAAATTGTCTTATAAAAATATTTACAGTAAAATTTGTTAGCACTAATGCTACGTTTTCAGTCCTAGAAAAAGGCAATCTTTAAAGGACCTGGCTCAGGTGCTCAGAATTAACCATACAAACATGAAACCACACACCGAAGACGGACAAATTCAAAAAGCATTTCGAGGGTGGAGAGGGAGGATACAGCTGGTTCATCACGTTACGGTTGTTCATATTGCATAGCTGGAAAACGAGGTCACTTGACTTGCATAACACTGCAATATTTGAGAAGGAAAGAAAGAAACGTGTCGTTTGCCGTCGAGAAGAACTGGCTGCAGCCAGGAACACCATGGCTCATCCCTGGCAAGGGCTGCAAGTCCTAGCCCTGCCCAGCAAGCCGCAGCTCTGGGCCAGCAGTGGGCAGAAATACCATTTTACAATAGCAGAAAACCACCAAAAACTGTTTTCCTTATAAGCAAGGAAGGTTTTATAAAGAGATGTATAGCAGGGGAAAAAAATTATCCAACTTTCAGGCACATCCACCTTTCACAACATCTGACAAACACAGCAAACTTCAAACTTGCATCTCTAGCACTAACTACCAGCTTTTATCTCTACCCCACACAAACTCTTAGTCTCTGGGCAATATTTGCCTCTGCTCCAGTGACGCTACGAGAGCAAGAAGGTCAGTTGGTATCTGTTCCCAACTACTGAGCTGTCGTTGGGCTACACAGCAGCTATTCAGCTTTACGGTCTCTATGTCTATACCAGAACTAATGAGGGCCACGTGCACCCAAAATGCTTGTCCAGACTTGTCCAGCCATCTCAGTCTAACGAGAGATGCTAACTCTGACCAAAAAGCTTTGCCCATCCCATTTTATCCTCTATTCCCACAGGCTGCAGGAAAAGGAAGCATTTTTTGGTGCTTCCTTTCAGGGCAGTGAGTTTGAGTCAGTCCGACCCAAGGCATCATCTTGCGTATGTCACAGTAAAGATGCACCTCAGGACTCTGATCTGAAGGCAGATTCCTGCAGTCAGGAACACATTCCTACCAGCCCTCATAGCTTAACAGCAACACCTCCTGAAAGAGCACCATGTCGCACTACTATTTTGGCACGTTTCACCGCAGATTGTAGAACCCAACGCAAAAGGTTTAAAGGGTATTATAGAAAAGCCTAATTCTCTTTTAAATTATTGTTTTCAAGACCTCTGGGCTGACACACAATGGAAGGGTAGACATCAAGAATAATAATGCCTTTTCTTTAGACAGTTTGTTTGTAAAAATAAGAATATCCAAAGAGGAGCAGGTGCTACCTAGAGCTCCCCGTGAAGGTCAGTCCCCTCTGTGGGAGGTGACACCACAAAGGTAGGTGCTGTTTCCCCAACTGTGGACAGACACCCATTTTACAGGGATCATGTCAACTCCAACACTAAATATCTACTTAACAGAAGTAACCCACTCCTCTACAAAAGCTGCACAAGGGGATGCAGCCTTAGAAGGCTCTGAAATAAATTTTTAGGTATTTCTCTTTTCTACTGTAGGTGGTCACATGGAGTCTTTTTGACAGGATCTATGGTGAAAGAAACCAGCAGAACAACAGTGGGAAGTGCTGGAGTGTGGCAGTAACATGGGCAGATTCTGTCCTGTAGACTAGGTGCCCACTGCAAAAAGCCTCACTGATCTACAGAGAAAAACAAAAAACCAAAACAGAAAAGGACAGAAAGTCTTTTACTTCACTAGTTGTCTTTAGCTGGGGACACTTTTGGAAGTCCAGCCCTGTATGCAGAAGCACTCCAGAGTTCACAAGGAGACACAAAAAGGTATTTTGAAGCCAAATATCATCTTAAACAGAAAGCTTTAAGAATTTGGGATGTATGCAAGACAGCTACATTACAGCTGGATGTAGGTTTGTCTGTTTTGAATAATCTTATGAATTCTTCGTACTAATAGAGGAACGGCTTCAGTGTGGGCAAGATTAAAATAGCAATTACAGTGAGAGTGATTAGTTAAACTCCATACTCTGGAAGCATTAAAACGCTGATGGCATTTTAACTTGCTCATTAATCACTGCTGGAGTGACAGAGGATTCACACTGGATGTAAGTCTCTACATTAATGGCACCATAAGGTATTTCTTTTAACATCTAAACACCTTATTATGAAATGGCATAAAGATGCTGGACAGAGCTAGAGCTGGAGCTTTCAGTACAGCTGAAACACATGGGTTGGGAATACTTTCTATTCAAGGAACATTTGTTTCACAGGAGCAATAAATCCCATCAGAGCACCACATGTTTTGTGGGGTTGCGCAGTTTTGCGTGGTTCAGCTGCTGAGACTTCAGCCCCAGGGAAGGCACTGCCCAGCAGGTCCCATCACGTACAGCAAACAGCATTCATGGCAAGTAGAAAAAAAATCATGTGGTATTTATTTCCACCATATGACAAGCATTTCAGGGATACATACAGTAGTCCAGTGGCATATACAAATGTATGACTGAGACACCGTCACACTCAAGCCAGAGCACCCTGTTCCAGTCCATTTCTGCTGACTGCTTTTCTCAGTTGGTACTCAGAAGTTTCCACTGCCAGTAGTAAAGTCCACCCTCCAGGCACAGTGAGTAAGTAGTTCAACCGATAACGTGCACGAAGCATCAGTAGTGAAGAAATCCAGAAACGTTCGTTTTTACTCACATGCCCAAACGTAGCAGTTTTGTTTCACACAAGAAATTCAGTGCCTGCAGTTCAAGCACAGCGTTTATCTCAGGACACTAGCCATTGAGAAGAACAGCTGATTGCACCACAGATAACAAGCAACACCTCGTGTCTAGCATGGAACACATCCCCAGAGGGATTTCCACTCTGCTACGAAATCCACTGCAGAGCAGACATGTTTGTAACGTATCACTTGTCATACTAAGATGTTAACAGCAATGAGATGGGTCAAGTCAGAGGTCAGTCATCTTCTCAACACCACCCAGCTGGATCCACTCCACTTCTGCTCCTTGCATTGGCTTGATTGCGTGTCACAACGGTTTATGAATCACAGCTACACCTATTGTAAGAATGGACAGACAGACACAGTTATCACAGGAGCAGCTCCTGGGTTGTGACGTGGCTAAGATCACCCTACAAAGCCAAAGACCAGCAACAGGCTAGCAGAAAGAGAGGCGTCTACTATTTCTATGAAAGGTTCCTCTACTGAAAGCAACATAAAACACACAAAAATGTAAGATTAAAGCTTCAGGAGGTATAGCCCTTGAGTTTGTGAATGACCCCAGCTATTGCCAGCTCTCCCACTGACTATTTACCTGCGTAACTTCTCCCTGTGCTCATGCTGGTTGGTAATAACGTCCACTTGTCCGTGATGGGGTTGTAGTATTCCACCGAGGCCAAATTGCAGGAACCATCATCTCCTCCCACCACATAGAGGAGACCATTCACTGCACACACACCTCAAAGCAGAGCACAGATGGTTAGAAACGGGCTAACTCATCCCCCACAACATGTTGCTTGCCACATTCCGATCATTCCCAAGCGGACACCTCATCTTCCATTTTTATCACTTTCTTACAATACAGATCACTTGCATCACTAGCACATTAGTAGTGTTAAAAACCACACAGAAAACTGCAACCAAACACCACAGAAAGGCTTATTGTGGTTACCTGCATTTCTTCTACACATATTCATGTCTGCTACTTGCTTCCAGGTGTTTGTTCCTGGATCATTTTTTTCCTTACTAAGGGACCATCATGCCCTCCAGTAGCGTACAGCAGCCCGCTGAGAACACCGCCCCCTGCCGAACAGAGCCCAGCATTAGCCAAACCTACAGGGGAAAGGGTTGCACGTCCCTGGTTCTTCTACTGGGTATTGCATTGGCCTCTCCAAGGCACTTCCAAAACATGGGCCACATGGGCCTTGAGACCACCCCAGCACACTCTCCACTCAACGATGACGTGGCACTACAGCAGGCCTGCGCAGTGATGCCTGGCAGGTGTCCCATCTTTCAGGGCTGTGCCCCTTCTCAGGTAGATGTTAGTCTATCTGAGATCAAGTCTTGTCCCATGACATCCACCTGTCTTTATTCAATATCATTGGACTCACTTGTTCTCTCTCCCCTTTGCCTCCCTGATCGCTGCATCCCACCCCACCTTGTATCCATCTGCCCAGTCTTTTCTGTCATGGGGCCCTTTGCTTTTAGCCTGATTCCCACTTCCAGGAGCTTCATTTTTGCTTTTCCTACTGCCTTCGTGCCACATGGCTTCAACCCTTGGACCCTCTTCCTCTTCTCAACAACTTATTGACTGCAGTTCTTGAGGATGCCACTGGCTTCCTCTTCCCCTGCTTCTGCCTCCAAACATGGCAGCAGCACCTGGCACAGACAAGGTGCCCCCAGTGCCACCTTCCCAGCCACTTTCGCGGGCTAAATCTCTGGGAATGACAGGGATCTGAAGGGTGCTCCTGCCTAATATCAAGTAAAGTAACTAATTAATATGGTCACCAATCCATGAGAGTTAAAACTTCCAGCAACATAGCTTCGTTAACAGGTTCAAAGGCCTCTGTTAAAATTAACAAGGTGGGATGTTAGTAAAACAGAAACATAGACCTGAATTGCATCATTTCAACCACGGGCATTGACCAGCAGGAAGGCCCTTGTGCCCTGAAGGTGGGCTCGTGCTGATGATTGAGGGAAAGGCACAGAGGTGGAAAGGCACATGCAGGGAGGAGAGGGGCCCTGACCCCATAAAACCAACAGGTTTTCAAGTTGGCCCCTGTGCAAACATCTTCTCTGTTTGACACATGCAGCACGGGGAAAGGAGAGCTCAGGAGTAATGCTGCGATGAAGAGCTGGAGAGCAGCCACCATCCGGGCTTGGCAGCTCCTGTGCCATGGGAACATCTCCCCGTGGTGTGTCACACCCCAAAACACCATGTGTCACACTGCTCCAAGTCTTGCCATGGTCAGCAGGAGCACGGACCACAGCAGCCACCATGCTCCACCTGCGGGATGGCAACACAAGGTGGGGTGGGAAACCATCTGAGCATTATTGCTCCTCTGTCAGCCAGAAACGGGCCAGCACCTGAGACCAACTGAGGAATTACAGCTCTGGCAGGCACACCATCATTTGGGGAATAGGTACGCTGCCGCAGGTCTACAACTGTCACCTCTCTCTCCTCCAGATTTTCTTAACATGCTGGGTTTGGCTTTGACCAGTCACCTCTCGCTCTATCAAGATGTGCTGAAACCCCAACACGACACTGGGATTCACGGTTCATCTCTGACTAACACTGGTAATTAATCTATAACTGCCATAAAGAACAATTCACTGGGCCAAATTCTCAGTCTGGTTGAGGTAGCCCAACGTGCACCACTTAAGAAGAGCAGAATGTGTCCCAATGTATGTCCTGGCCCCGGAGCTGTACAAGGTGCCTCCCAGTTGACTGGGGAACAGGAACTCATTGGAACTCATGAGGAACACCTCCCACGTCTGAGCCCAGCAGCCCGGGATTGCAGCACCTTAGCATTTGACGATACTCAGCTGTTAGCAAAAATTTCACACTTTTAAGAAATAATTTCATTAGTAAACTAATGTAAGCAAGTAGGAAAGTGAGAGAGTCGGAAACATTCTAAGGCTTCTCCATCTGAAGCAGCCTCCCCGTGCGGCGAGACAGACAGGGCACACGTGGCCGGGACATCCCTGCCAGGAGGGGAAAGCCCAGCAAACCCAGCACTGCCAGCACCCACACAGCCCCACTGGAGACTTGGGGACACCCGTCCTCGTCCCCACTAGATGTCAGCACCGGGTCGGCAGTGCCGGCGGCTCCAAACACCGTTTGGTTTATGGATGGAGCTGTAGGATAGATCGTGCTGCAGCACCGCTGGTGATGTGGGGCACTGGGCAGTGCTCTCCCCGGTGCTGGAAGGGCATGTGGGTGGCAACCAGAGCTCGAGGAGCTCAGCTTTCAGGCCGGGAACAGAAAACCACAAGGCTATCTGGCAGACCAGGAGAGAGTATTCGTAACGCCGGATCTGCCGAGTGGAGATGTACTCGCAAAGCAGCGCTCAGAGCAGAGTGTTTCAAACAAAGAAAAATGACTAAAATCCATCTCACTACAGGCACAAACTGTTTTGCTGTGTTTCAGCACGCTGTCAGCAGTACGAGACACTCATTCTGTTCTCCTATAAGGCTGCAGTGGGCTAAGTTTAAGCACCAAGCAGATACTGAAAACCTCTTAAACTGAATGCAAACCAACAGCGTGTGACCATATTTGCCTCACCTGCAGTTACAGAAAAAAAATATTAGAGAGAAGAAAGAAAGATGGTGTGCAGAGAGCAGCCTCCCAACTGTCCAGCTCAGAGAGACTTTCCCATCACAGCTTGACCTGCATGGTCATTTCAGCCCCCAGGCAAAGTGCAGCCTCGGGCTTGGCTACCTCTGGGTAACTGCCACCTTGGCTGTTGCACAACGAGAACTGTGCAATTTGACATCAGGGAGGACTCACTGCACACACTGAGCAATAGGACCAACAATGAAACATTGCCTTTCATCTGAATATGATTTTAAATGAGATGGATAAGAGCTTTTATCTCTGTAAGAGAGGAACAGCCACAGACAGGATAAGCGCCTAGCTGGCCGAATGCCACGTAGTAAGTTAGAAGCCACCAAGACTAGAATACAATCCTTTTTAGCACGTGCTTTCCTCTAAATCCTCCAGATCACCAACTCCTGCCAGCAGAAAGTACACTAAAAACTAGCTTAGCAGGGGCAATCTGAGCTGAATTTTGTTACCTTGACTTGGTCGGCACACCACCCAGTGCAGATGTGCTTTGTGCTGCAAAGCACCCACTGGATGCTTGCAGAGAAGACCCAGAAGGAAGATCCACCTGACAACCCTGATGCATCTGTTAGCGAGGCTACTTAGTGAACATTATTTCATTAATCCAGAAATTAACTTCACTTTGGCAGATTTTAACCGAATCAGGAAAGCTGCTGAGAGCTTCCAAGCAATTATGTCTTTTCCCCTCATGAGAAAAGGGGTGGAAATAACAGGTTGCACTTGCCAGCCCAGCAATGCCAAAGCACGCTTTTCCTTCCCTTCCGTGAGCAGAGGGGAATCATCTGCTCCTGAGAACACATCTCGGAGCCAGTACCTGCACCGCTGCGTCGAGTGCTCATGTCGGCGACGTAGGTCCATTCGTTGGTGGCTGGGTTATACTGTTCAACAGTACTAAGGCACTGACGGGACGCTCCGTCGTAACCCCCCACGGCATAGAGCTTACCTGGAAGAGACACACGTTGGCATCAGCGTGACGGCTATGACGGATTTACGTTGCCATTGTGCCTGACAGCCCCAGGTGAGGACAGATCCCGGCTGAGAGAGGCCCTGGGAGACGTGCCCAAACCTGCCGGCGTTTCTGGGGAAAAGTCCTACTGAAGGCATCTGCAGTAGACTCGCAGAGAAGCAGGTCTGTTTTTAAAGGTGTTAAAGCTGTCAACTAAGACAAGGAAACAACACAACAGCTTAATTAGAAGCCAAAAGCCCAGAGGGTTTTTAAATGACTTGTTGGCCCAGGAGAAGAGGGAACATCAAAGCACTGTTCTGCTGATTGAGTGTTTCCTCCTGTTCAGGTGCCTCAAGGCAAGGTGTGCTGTCAAAGGTCGATTCTGTACATTAATTACAGTATCAGATGAGCAATAAATATGCAATAACCTCTTATGTTAATATAATACCTGCATGGAAACCTAGACCTAATTTTGAAGAACCTGGGCCAAATCCAAACCAACCGATGCCACCAGCACAGCTGAGGCCAGCCTGCCCACTCATGCCAAGTGATCACAACACAGAAGATACCATAGGAGGCCCTCACAGCATGGTATCTCTGTCCCTCTCCACCTGAATTCAATGGAAGCTGGACAATGTACACCCAGTGAGACTGGAAAAACACAGTTATATGTCACAGGACTACGCCACACATGAAACAAGGCTGATGCTCCACCATGTCCTCTGTTCACAGACCTGACTGATAAACTCTCCTTATCTCCCTGTATTTTTTTTTTTAAGCTTGTTTTGCTTTCAGGCAGTGAACTGTCAGGGCAGAGAGGGTTTCTTTGTGTTTCTTTACCAGACCACCTAGCACAAAGGCATTCTGGTTCGAGACACTACAACCAACCATTAATAAAGTTCAATAAATACGTAGGAAAATTCTAACCCAAATTTTTGTACAAAAACCATGAATAAGACCAATTTTCAATCCATAACAGGAGAGCCTGGTCACAAATCAGCTATGTGATTCTTTATCACACGAGACTCCCAACAGCAGTTATCATCCAAAGTCTTATGAATTTACATCTTCCTGTTTCCACGATGTTTGCAAGGCTCCAAGAACAGGCCAGCTCTTTTCTTTCTCATGGTCCTGCCTCTGACTCTTGTTCTCCCTCCGCTCCATTCACGGCCTCCTTGGGCTGTGATCATCAGGAGAGATTTGCAAGGATCAAGTTTGCTACTGTCCTCCTTCTGCATCCTCCTGTCTCTATAAACATTTGAAACTCTTACTAGTGCTGTTGGTTCCACCTGCCCGGTGTTAGTCAACGAAACAAGGCAAGAGTGCCAGACACAGCAAGACAAAGTTCCCTGTCTGGCATCAATTATTGGATATTTTCAGTACCCACAGACATCCGATCAATCTTCATCGTGTTCTGATTAACTGCAGGCTGCAGCTTGTTCCCTACGCCAATATGATCAGCTCTTCTTCACCAACACATGCCCTCATTTTATTTTTTTTTTATCATGGACTCCAACATGTGCAACGCTTATTTGTGCTTTCAAACAAAGCAAAGGTCTGTCTCCAGCAGAAAACCTGTCCATAGAAATGCATCTCAGGTCCATACTTAGTATTTGTTCCACAGTCAAGTGACTGACTCACTTTCGCAAATCCCCCTGACTACCAGCCGCCTGGCACCTTGCAAGCATGGGCCAAGTTTGAAGGAGATGCTTCTTAAATATGCAGATTTAGCACAACCAGTGCTATTTATTCTGACCTTAACTCCCTCCCTCTTCTCACATAAACACATTCCGCGTTCATAAACACATTTCATGTATTTCCCATGCACAGAGTCAAACCAAGCCACTTCAAAGCAGAGTTTATAACAAGCCTTGTGCCAGCGGCCGCTCCGCTCCGTTACTAATTGGAAACTGCTACGCCACGCTAAAGCCAAGTTCAAATAAAAGCTTTCATTTGTTTCAGAATTTATTTTGCTGAAGGAAGAAAAGGTTCCTACTTAAACTGCTCCTTCTCCTGGATCCAAACCAAGCTGCTCAAGTTCCAGCTCACTTGAGCCTGGTGCTGACACACAGCTGCCAACAGCTGCCGCGATCCCTCCGAGCACCCTCTGCACCCACCTCACTCCCACGCCGCCGCAGCACCAGCGGTCGCTGTCGTCAGTCCTTGCTCATTTAGAAACCAGAGCAAATCGCGCCGTGCGCGCCGGCAAGCCTGATGTCAATAAACACAGGTTTTGGTATTCCTGCCAAACCACCAGCTTGGGGCTGGGGGGACTAACTATGCTCCTGTTTCTCTCGCTGAGCAGATTTTGTGTGATGGGTACTCCATCCACATAGAGTCTGCTGATGGCAACAGCATACACTGCACAATGCCATTTGCTTTTGCTGGCCAGAAACAGCTCAGAAAGAATAAGGATTTGAAGAAACCTGCACACACCTAATGGCATTCACAGGAGGCATGGACTGGACTCACAGGTCTGAGGCTCTTGGAAAGCTACACATGATTTTTCACTAAGATAGAGGAGAATGGAAAAAGCTGCAGTGATTACGTCATATAAAATAAATCTTTACCAACTGAAGACAGTCTAGACAACAGTTTCTACAGTTCCCTCCTGTTGTGCTTAAGCATTCAGGCTTCTGTCAGACACAGTAACATTTGCTTGATGGAAACGGCTGCTGATTTTCTTACCCTCCACAACTCCAACTCCAACACTGCTTCTTCTTGTGTTCATGGGAGCCACAAAAAACCACTCATTGGTTTTATAGCTATAGGCCTCAACTGATGCCAGACCTAGTTAAAAAGGGGATACACAGGTTTTCTAATTAAAAAAAAAGAGAAGAAAAAAAGATTGGTGTTGCACTTCCATCTGTCTTCCGCCTCCTCCCAAGCCCGTAATTCCCCCCACACTCCTGCGACCCAATTTTCCAGTCCCTTGCCTTTCAGGCTGGGATCAGCGTGTCAACGCCACTTCTTCAGCAGTCGGAAAAACTGTCACCCCATCGCCCCTGCCCTGGGACTGCTGCCCCTCCAATGTGATGGGGACACCAAGATGGAGCAGAGTCCAGATCCCAAGTCTGAAAGTCCCACATCCTTTCAAGCATTACAAAATGTCCATGCAAAGGTTTAAAAATTCCCCCAGACTCCGCTGCACCATACTCATCACCAGCTGAAATAGTGAGTTTAGGGCTTAACCAAGTGGCAAAGCTCTACAGCAGAGGCAGAGGTGTAAATATAAACAGGCAGTTACACCAAGACAAATCCCAGACACACATATCCCATCAGATGCCTTCCTGGCATTTTATTCACATTGCTATGAAAAATTTAACTAAAACAAGGCAAAATCACTTTTCAGTCCAGAAAAAGCATATTCATACAGAGAATGAGACCGAAAGAACTGTATCACTAAAGAAAAAACTAGGGTGAGATTCTCTGCAACTACTGACAGGTCAAGAACATGCACGTGGTTAGTTACAACACGCAGTAAACCCAGTCTCTGGCTCTTTCTCTACGAAGCCATAGAGGAAGGGCCCAGGAACCTCGCTAAAGTTCTGCAGTCTTTGCAGGGGTCTCTGAAAACATTTTTCCAGGTCAGGCACTGCCTGGTTTTTGCTCAGTCACTTACCGGTGCTGCCATCGAAGCCACCCACTGCGTACAGGAGATCATTGAGCACAGCTGCGCCTAAAGTGCTTCTTCTCTCCTGCATGCTGGCTATGGATGTCCACTGGTCCTTCACACCATCATACACATCAACCGTCCGTACCCTTAAAGATCCGTTAAAGCCCCCGACAGCATAGACGTTGCCAGCCATAAATACCACACCTGATAAGAGAGGAGAGAGATTTTTACGGAGGTTTTACAAACAGCTTGGGAAGCGAGTATCAGCAGGCGTCTGTCAAGATGTGTAAGACAGCAGGGAAGAGTAGAACGTGGGCAAGTCTTTGGCATTTTCTGCAGGTTAAGAGCATTGGAGCCAAGTATGATAAAACATGTGTGTCATATGGAAGCTGAAACGCACATAAATACACGGAACCACAAGGCACAGACGGATTTCACATCTGAATGAGTAACTTTCTGAGCCAGGGAGGACACCAAATGGTGATCCACATTCACAACCCTCTCGGATGTCTTCAGAGGAACACTCCCAACTTACAGACCTGCTCTCCACCACCCTTCAGCACCAAGAGGGCCTGACTCAGCTGCTTTGATTTTTCACTAGGAAACCAGCATGGAAAACTAGATCCCTGTGGGTTGCCAAGCCAACAGGATGGGAGGAGGAGAAACACTGATGGAGGAGCAGCCAGGAGAGGTGACAAAGAGGAGACAGTGGCTACAGAGGGCAAACAGGCAGAGCAATCACTCTAG